CGTTAGCCTTCCTGCTCCTCTGATGCTGCTTGGCCTGCTGTGTTCATCCAGCTCTACACCTTGTTGTCTTCATTAGATACTTGTCAGTTGTGCCTGGGCTTTCAAAATGGCACCAGTAATCTCAGGAGGTCCAGCCACTGGCGAGTACCATTTCTGGGGCAAGAGGAAAGTTAGAACAAGCAGAGTGCCGTAGGAGCATAGCTAATAATTTGAATTTTGGAGAATAGCATGAGAAGACTCATTGGGGCTCATGGGAAACAACCCTCCAAGAAAGTCACCAAAACTGACACTTGGCCAATTTCTGACAAAATTCAGCCCCATATTTTTTTCATAACCGAAATATAGCGGATGCACGGAAACTGAAATAACAAGAGGAAATTCTGGAAGTACTCAGCAGGTCAGGCAGATTCTAGTACAAGATTATCGACCTGAAACATTAACTATATTATCTCTCCTCTAGATGCTGCCTGAACAGTTGTGCATGTGAAATGTTTTCTGTTTCATTATCATATTCGTTCTGTGCTGCAGGGTGTTTTTTCCTTTTCTACTTCAAATACAATCTTTGCAGTAAATCAATATGGTCAACAGCTTGTTTTTATATTTCAGCTCCATGACACTTGTGCTGAGAGATGCTTTGGCATGTGCCATTTTGGATTGCCTCATTGCGATTTTTGAATATTTCAGAGACCAAGGTGGAGGGTCAAGCCTCATTCTTACAGTAGCAAGTTGCAAACTGTACAGAAGAAATTAATTAGGATGGCACTAAAATTGGATTGTGGTACCAATGTGAACAAGGTGAAATAGTTTCACTAACTTAAGATTCTGGGAATTAGTGAGTTCAGATGTAAAAATTGAATGAAAGAACTGTAAATTTCACTGTTCTACTCGGGCTTTTTATCTGGTGTAAGGGGGATAACATTGATCCTATATCAGCCTGAACAGAGAAACCCAAACCAAATCTTTTACAGGTCTAGGCTTTCTAAGTATGCAAGTCAGGTGATATTTCCCTTCTTGAAATGCCAGCTGAGGTGGCACTGCTCCAGAGGAGGCTAAGGAAGAATTCAATAGGAAATAGGTTAGGCCCAGTTGTGTTGAAAATATCTTGCTGTAGTGATCTTCAAGCAAATCCTGGGTCCACCTCAAAACTCTTGCCAGTGCCCAACTGTTGGCATATGGACTGAAATCCTGAGGTAGCCTGGGAACTTTGTCTGATGTGCCCTTTGGAATGAGAATGGGCAGAAATCTTAGCACTTTCCCAAACGCAACTTCTCATAAAAGTGAAATCCTAACAATATTGTGGTTAACCCCAGTTTCTAGTCTTCTGATTGGAGATCAACTGCACCTACGTAAAGCCTGATTGGAATTTCAGATCCATGTAATTTTACAGCATAGAAGAAAAGGATACTTAACTACATTCCCCTAGAATTATCTGCTTAGTTCAATTCTCCTATTATTTCTCCATGCCCTTATAATTTTTTTACTTTACAAAGATTTACTCACTCCTCTTAAAATCTATTCTAGATTTTATGCCCAACTTGTGTCACTGGTGGAATGCTGTGTACCCTAAAAATTATTTTCATATAAAAACAAATTCTCCAAATTCCTCCATTCATTTTTCTGGAAATCTTAAATTTGTGTCATTCTGCTTATTGGCTTTCAGAATTTTGAAAATAATCTTTCCATATTTAGTTTGTAACAGCCGTTTGTTTTGAACATCTCTATAAATCTCTTTTTAGCCTTCCATCTTTGATTAGAGCCTGGTTTCTTCTTCTATTATGTAAAGGCTGTCAACAGGAAACTGTCTACATGTGCAGGGAGAGTTTCTGCCATGCTTCTGCCAAAACTACAATGAGTGGGAGTGGGACCTCCTCCAAGGAAGAGGTTTCAGCCTCCTTGTGTGCTGTTGATATGTAGTATGTCTTGTGCAGATTATTATCATTAACCAAAGGAAGTAATTTCAACTTTTAGGCAGTTTAGTGGCTCAGTACAGTGATTCATTTATATAAACTCTAAAGATTTTGGACATCTCTTGTCAAGCAAAGTTCCACTATTGCACCCTTGCCTGATTGGAGCACTGATCGGAAAAACAGACGTAGAAGACTTGATTTATGACACTCCCAATTTCCAAGTTTAATTTCCAGTTTTAAGACCAGTCATTTTGAACCTTGAGCAATTGGGCACCGTTGCCTCCGTCCTTAACTGTCCCGTAATATGTGTCTGTGAAATGAACTGGTGCAAAATCTACCTCCATGATGATGTGAAGATTTGCCTGTACAAATAAAATGCACCTGGTAATGTTAATTAGGAGTGAGGTAGTCTTCTGGACTTGCTAGTGATTGCTTAAACAGGTTGTAAAAGAATTT